GGCACAGGACCCCAACCGGGATCGGTTCAAGCTGGTCCTGAACTGCATCATGATCCTGACCTCGGTGGTGCCCCCCGAGTTGCCCATGGAGCTTACCATCGCCGGTGGGTGTGTGTGTGTGTGGGGGGGGGGGGGTGGGGGCGGTCCTGGTTGGGGCATTTGGGACCGGCAGAGCACCTCGTCACTCGGCAAGGTTGGCGGTGGCAAGTATACGGCGCGCTGGGGATCGCCGCAGGCCCTTCAAGATATGGAGCGGGGGAGGAGGGACCCCAGTTCGTACCTTCTCTCAGCTTTGGCCCCCCTGATCCTGTACCCATACCGCCCCCCTCCTTCACCACCAACACCTCCAAAGACCGCCCCGGAGATCCAGAGGACCAGCCTGGCAGGGGTGGTGCTCTACCTGAAATCCCTCCCCCTCAACATCGATGTGCTGGGGTTTGAGTACCTGGACCCGCCAGCGGTGCGACCATGGCGGCGGGCATGTTTGGTGCTCGGAGGGCTTGGGGAACTTGTCGATGTGCAATCCATTGGCGTGAAGATGGTATCACAAAACCGCGATGCGCAGTACAGCTCATGGGCCCCGTCATGGATAATGCCCAGGATGCATCTGAAACCGCGTCGCAAGTACTCTAGCGTGGTGCCCAGGGTGCTCTCGACTGCTTCCCGCTCACTCCATCTCCCCACAGAGGCCCGCCCTGGAAGCAGCGCTGCGCAGCCTGTACGTGCTGGACGCCATCGACGGCGACGGCGTCATCACAGGTAAGGAGCACTGAAGGTACTGGCATCATTCCAGTGTTGGGAGGTGTGTGTGTGCGCAGGGGATGGAGGGGTCACAAGGTATAACCCTGCCAAGCCACCAATCGCTTGCGGCGAGGCTTTAGCCAAGATCAGGTGCGGGCACTCTGATCGAACCCAGTCCCCGCTGGACACTTGCACATCCGAATCCCCTCCAAACCCACTCTCTCATCCAGACATCGGGCGCCGGATGGCGGCCCTGCCCCTCACACCGCACCTCTCCCGCGCGCTACTGGCGGCGGAGGACGGCGGGTGCCTCGGCAACATGCTGAGCCTGGCAGGCATGCTGAGCACCGAGTCCAGCGTATTCCTGGGTGGGCGCGGGCCTCAGCAGCTCCTCGCAAGCGATGCTCCCGGGCCGGCGCCCAGCGGCAGGCCGCCCAGCCGGCCCGGGGCCGGGGCTCCAGGCTCGGCGCCGGCGCCGCTCGCACCGCAGGCCCGCGCCGAGCTGCTGCGCCTGCAGGCCGGCGGCCTTGGCGACCACGTCTTCCTCCTGCGCCTCTACCGCGCCTGGCAGGCGGCGGGGGCCGGCGCGGACTGGGCGCGCGCGCTCGGCGTGGACGCGCGCACGCTGCGGTTCGCGCGCGACGTGCGCGCGCAGCTGGAGCGGGCCATGGCGGCGGCGGAGCCCGGCGCACGGGGCGCGCGCTCCAGGCAAAGCGGCGCGGGACTGGCGGCGTCGGGCGAGGGAAGGCCGCCCCGGCCCGCCAAGCGGGGTGCAGACGGGGTTCCCCGCCCGCAGGACGCGCCGGGGTCGCGGAGGGGCAGCAACCAGGACCTGGAAGGCAGGGATGGCGTGGCCGATGGGGAAATTCTGGACGGGGACGAGGGAGAACACCGCCGTCTGCGCCACGCCCTTGCGATAGGTGAGCTGCTGTATAGGGGCCAAGGGACGCGCTGTGGCCTGCTGCTCACCTGGGTCGAAAGGGGGAATTTCCTGTACGCTGCCAGTCAGAATTTTCGATCTGCGTGGTCGTGGCACGCGGCCATCGGAGCAGGGGTTGCAGGCAACTCCGATGTCCCTGTGCCTGGCGCACGAAGCCCCCCTGGCACCACACACCTCACTACACAAGATCCACCTCGCCCTGATCACAGGTTTCGCTAACCAGCTCGCGCGCCGCATGCCCTTGCACAACGGCTACCGCACCCTGGGCGAACGCCCGACGCTGGCCCAGGTGGGTTCGCGGTCTGGCACTGAGGGCTCTGCTGCGCTCATCCTTTGCACCAAGCGCCCTTTGCAGCCAGCGCTCCCTACTCCCTGGCACTGCCTGTGGGCACCTACAACCTGATGTATACTCGTATCGGTGTCACCCACCTCCAAAACACTGGCCATCCACACAGGTGCACCCGTCCTGCGCGCGGCTGGGTGCCGACGAGGACGGCCTGCTGCCGGAGTGGGTGGTGTACCACGAGCTCATCGCCACAGGGCACACCTTCCTGTCCAAGGTGTGCGCGGTGGAGGGGGCCTGGGTCGCGGCCCTCCTCCCGCGTCTCACGGGCGTGGACGTGGCGCGGCTGAGCGGCGGGGCCTCCACCGCGGCCGCCGTGGCGGCCGCGGTGGGCGGCGAGCACGCCGCCTCCGGCGGCGCCTCGGGCAAACCTGGCCCGCTGCCCCTCTCCCGCCGCAACTCGGACGCAGACGTGAGCGACGCGCGCGCGCGCTTCCTCGCCCGCAAGTCGCAGCGCGGGGGCTGACTGGGGGACCTGCCACGAAGTGGCCCTGCCAGGAGGTTCCTCCCGCTGGCATCACGGTGCAGCTCCTTCGGCAGCCAGCTGCGACTGGGGTCGGTCAAACCCCACGGTCGTGCCAGGAGGAGCAGCGCATGCTCCTCACCCCTGACGTGCTGGCACACACTCACCTGCACTGTTTGACCTGAGTGATACCCTCCTGTGCTGGACCCCAGAACAATGTATTCAGGCGATTGCCCTGTGCATTTCAGGTCACTGTAAGCCACGCCACAGCCCAGTCAAGGCGTGCAGGGGAAGAGGTGCATGCGCCATGGACACGCAAGCCCGCGTCTGCCTCGGCGTCACAGGGGGGAGGGGCTCCTGGAGCGCGAGGCATCTTTCCGCCGCACCGGCGACCGCGAGCGGCCGCGCAGGGGGGAGCGGGACCTGCTGCGTGCCGCCCTGCACCGGGGGATTGTGTTGGAGAGTGGCGAGGAGGATCAGGGCACGCAGGTCCGAAGCCGGGGCAAGCGTGTGTGCCGTCGTGCCACCCAGGTGGAAACGTACGGCGGGCCGCCCATCACCCCGCATTCACCCCTCCCCAGGTTTGGAAAGGCTTGCCGACGCCGTCGGCCATGCTCCCCACGCCCGCCCCTGTCCAGCTCTCACCTCCCCGCCGGGGAGCGGTCCTCGCGCCGCGCTGGCAGGGGCGAGCGTGCGCGCCGCGCCGGGGCCGGGCTGCGGCTGCGGCTGTACCGCGGCGAGGCGCGGCCCCGGCGGCCAGCGCTGCGTGAGCGGGAGCGCGAGCGAGAGCGGGGACGTGGCCGGCGGTCACGGGACGGGTCCCTGCCCCTCCTGTCCTCGCCGTACGGCGCCCTGTCGCGAGAGTCGCGCCCCCTGCATCAGGCGTGGGCAGGTGGTGCGGCCAGGTGCGGCGTGCATCGCAAGCGGGGAGTGAGGCACGACATCCAGGCTGATCAACATGCTGAGGAAGAAGCGGAATCACCAGACAGACGGCCAGCCCCGACTCACCCAGCCGGGGAGAAGGAGCGGCCTGCGCTCGAGTCCTTGACGCAGAACTCCACTGCACATGGGAGTGAATGAGGCGACATGCTTGGATTCTAGCAAGGGAGAAGTGGGGATCGATGTTCGGCTGGGTGGAAAGGGGGCGCAAGTGTTGACACCGCATCACAGCTGAGCTAAGGTTCTGCAACCCTTGCACCAGGATCGACATCGCAAGCCCACCTGTGATGTCACGGCCAAGGATCCGGGTGCCGTGGACCTTTTTGCAGGCCTCCTTGGCGTCCTCCAGGTCGTAGAACTCAACAAAGCAGAAGCTCTTCTTTATTTGGCAGCGCTGGAGTTGGAGCGGGGGGAGGGCAGGCAAGGGAGTGAGGTGGGTGGCACATCGACCCCAGACTGTTCCCCTCCAGGCGCGGAGGGCGCTGCCACCAGGCCCCCCCTGCACAGGCAGCCGGCAAAGCAGCCCTGCAGCCTCTCAGCTTCACCTTCACCCTGCCAAAGGGCTCAAAGGCACGCTCCAGGTCCCGCGTGCGGATGGTGCGGGGATCGAAGCCCGCCACGAAGAGCGTGGTGTTGGGGATCGCAGCCTCCCTCCGCCGCTCCTCCCTGACCTTCACGTTGACGTCGGTCTTGGAGAACTCGGCCCTCAGCCTGCGGCGCATGCGGCCCCATTCCCGCCTGTCGCGAGGGGTGGGGAGGGTGGGCAGTCCACTGATCTTGGGTGGGATGCGAGGCTAGGACCCGCCCCCTGTACTGTAGACCGGCTGCTGCTGCATGTTGCAGCAGGGCAACGGCCCTGCTTCCCCTCTCCCACAACACTCAGGACCCACGCCTCACCCGTCAAGATCTTTGATGGCGTCCTCGGCATCGCGGATGTCTTCATAGTGCACGAAACAGAAACCTGGGAGGCAAGTGGGGAAGTTAGTCCGCAATGGGAGGGAGCAGAGCCGAAGCACGCACCCCCCTCCTTCCCCAAGATGTCGCACCAGACTTGAACTCTACTCTTTCCACGCGACCATATCTGTCGAACAAGCGCTCCAAGTCACGTTCACTGGCATCGTACTCGTAGTTTCCACAATAAACCTGCGTAAATGGTGGAGATGGCATGCAGTCGGAGACAGGCAGCATCACGACAACCAATATACATACGCAGTCTTACTCACAGGTGGGGCCATGATGACGGTAACTGAGCCCCCTGCCAGCAGAACGTTTCAACAGACTATCGCGGAGGGCAGCATCTTGATGACTGTCCGTGGGTCCCCCACAGTATCGAAGGAGTCGAGCCGGGGCGCGCGCAGCAGCAGCAACGAGTCTCCCTGCAAAATCAGCGTGACAAATCGCCATCTCCATATTCCCAAATTTAGGGCAGGTACCTACTTAAAAACTGTTTGTCATGTATATGTTTTAGTATTTGAGAAGATGTGCATCGGGATGAAGGGACCTATATTGTTGTTGCTTCTTTAGCCTGGATGATTGCATACCAATGCCCTGGACCAGTTTCCAGTTGAAGGAGATGCACCTACTTCTTTGGGTAGGCCACTGCTTCGGTCATCTGATACCAAATCACAAGCCATCAGTCTACTTGCTAGTCAAGTCAAGGAGCCTGCATGACATCTTGGACGGCCCTGGGAATGCTGCTTGCCCAGCCGCCTAGCCAGGAAGTGCAGGAATGAGCGACACACATGCCAAACCCGAGCCATCGCTCCACTACGCAAACCATGGACACTAGTCTACATCCCAGATATGTGCGTAAGATCAGCCAACGCTCTGTCAGGGCCCTTGACCATTTGTGCCCTTTGTTGGACACTGTCGTCGGCTATCCAGCTTGCTCATTACCCTTCCAGGCCAAACACTCCCATGTGCACCTGCCTGACAAAATTGGCAGTCCTAACATAATCGCACATTGACTATATTGCCATGGGATGGGCAGTCACTGGATACCTCGGAGGTATCCATGCGTTAGGAGATGTCGACATCCTGGGGCGCGAGCGCGCGCGGTGCTCGGTGACATGCATCTCCGACGCAAAAGGAGTAAATAATTGTCTGTAGGTAAATAAAGTGATGATAGCAATTTCCCACTATCGATGAACATGGAGGAGCGTAGGATCGCCTCCCTCGAAGTGCAGGAGGGCCGTGGATACGTCTGGGATGCAGCAGGTCGGGACCACAGGGGAGTCTCTGGCTAATCACTCAGGAGTTGCATCTTCAACATGTGAAAGAACAGATGGAGACTTTTGCACCCACATGCAGAGGCTCTGTGGCTGCGACAGACCTGCGGACTCGTTGGGGCCATGGTCGGTGGGGTAGCAGGTAGGGTGGGGACACCCGTAGGAGGCTCGACCTAAACGGCAGAGCAAGGCTGGACAATGTTGCGTGCATGCCTCCCGCTGGCCCTCTCCAACATGCTTTCCTGCACCCATTCTACCCAGGGTTCAAGCAGCAGAACGCTGTGCATGGGCTTCCCCTGGAGCTAAGTCCTGAGGAGGTGACCCTCGCACTTGAGAAAGGTAACTTGCGCCTGTGAGGGCCGATGAGGAATAGAAAGGGCGGAAGAGCTGTTTTGACAGAGCACAATGTGCCCCTGCGCCACTGCGTGCCCATGCGTTTCCCGCTTTCAATGTGCAGAGTGGGTGCGGCTGCAGCCGGTGCTCAGGACCAGTGCTGCGGCAGCGGACGCCGCCAGCGCCGCACTTGCGAGGAAGCGGGCGCATGAGAGCGAGAGTGACGGCAGCGACGAAGAGGCCGGGCCACGGGCTGTGGAGGGCAGCAGCGAGGCGCCTGCCTGGAGGGAGGCACTGGCCCGCGGATCGCACTTTTGCATTCCCACCCGCGCAGCGGCGCGTGACCCCGGTGAGGCCGTGTCCGTCCTGCCCGCTTGGACCTTCCCAGCAACGCCAGGGGAGCGGCAGCGGTATGCGGTATTCAAAGACCTGCTGTCGCGGGGGTGAGTGCACAGGGCCAGGGCTGGGAATTGATTGCAGTGGGTGTGGCCTGGCGTGGGATGCTTTTTGCTGAGCATGCAAGCTTAGGGACGATGGAAAGCTTGTACCTTCCAGGCGCAAGACCAGCCTGTCTCCCCAGGCCAGAGCTCAGGTAAGATCATCGTCTCATACTATCCACACCGCATCCAAACCCCGCTCCCCCTTGCAGCTTCCGTGTGACGGGGGGCTCCAAGTTTGGAGCAGACTACCTGGTATACCCCGGCGATCCCACCCTGTTCCACGCCCAGTTCTGCGTCCGGTTGATGGACTACTCTGCTCCCCTGCTGCCGGCCCTGCTGGCGGCTGCGTGCCGTGCCTCCCACCAGGCCCGAAAGCACCTGCTCGTCGCGTCGCTGCTGGACGGCGGGAAGGTCAGCTACACCACCTTTGGACCCGTGGACGGTTTTGGCTGAGAGGCAGGCACATACAGGACAAGACCTCATTGTGGGGACCCCTGGTAACACTGTCTTGGTGAACGGCCAGCATGGCCAGCTTGTTACATTGAAACAAGGGCATGAGGTCACATGGCATTCCACCCCGCCAGTTCAACGGCTCCCAGCGCGAGTCTCGGAGTTTTGCAAGGGGGCAGTGGCCGCTGGGGGCACGTGCATGGTCAGGTACTGAGTCAGGAATTGAATGGTGGTCCGTCAAAGAGCATATAGGCAACTGTCAATGGTACTTTTACGGGCAGACTTATGGCCGCCTTGTGCAGTGGGAAAAGGAGGAGGCCATGATGACGGGCATCTGATGCAAGGGGAGTGAAGCCGCAACTCCATTCGAGTCTGCTCGGCCACGTGTGACCAAGAAACTGCGGGGGAAGGGGCGGGGTGCACCTGGATCAATCATGACGCCTCTACCTCAAGGCACCGGGGCCCTGCAGCCCAGCCCCGTCGGCCCTCAGGGGTATTGCAATAAGTCCGCAGCAGGTCGTGCGGGTGCACGCCTTCTCGGAATAGCGTATATATAGGCATATAATCATGGGGCAGGGGGGCGCTGCGTGGTGTTGCGGCCCCATTTTCACGCTTTCCTCACCAGGGAATGGGTGATGGGGGTCGACGAAATCAGACTGGGGCCACATCATGGGCGGGAGCACAGGCCCTTACTCGCCATGGTGCCGCCGGCGCTTAGAGTCGTCGCGGTGACGCCGCTCCCGTGCTTCCCGGCTGCGGCTCCTTCGCCGCTCCCTGCTCTCCCTCCGCTCTCGCGCGTGCTCGCCGTCCGGCTGTGCGCGGTCGCTTCCCTCCGCCTGCGGGTACAGGCGAGGGAATTGGTCGATGTGCAGGCACCATGGAGTAGAGCAGGGATGGAACGCGTCCCTTTCCAGAGCACAGGGGGGTGCTCGCGCCACCAAAGTTGAGCTCAGTGTACGAATACAGTCCATAACGGCCGACAGGGTATCCGCCGGCATAGGTAGGGGAATCATTGGTCATCACAGCTCGGGGTGGTGCAGTGTGGGAGCATGCGGCACCCACCCCAGCACACCTGTCGGCGTCTGGCCGTGTCTGTGCGCGCGTCCCGTGACGCACTCCCGGGCCCCTGCTCCAGGGTCACGGCGTCGATGGCGGCAGCCGCCGCCTCCACGCCGGCGCCCTTCCCGACGCCAGCGTCCGTCTCCAGACCCTCCTCCGCGTCCGCGCCACCCGCCGCCGCACCCCGTGCAGGCCCCCCGCTCCCCCGCGCCCTGACGTCTGTATACTGGGCCGGGGGCTTGGCGTAGAGCTGGCACAGTGCGGCGGCCACCGCGTGCACCTGCTGCGTGGTGGCGCCCAGTGGCTGCCACCAGGGCGGCGCCTCCGGCAGCGGGATGCCCAGCCGGCGCGCGGCCAGGAAGAGGATGCCGCAGGCCACGACCTCGGGGCGCAGCGTGAGGCACAGCGTGGTGTGCAGCGAGTCGTTGGCCAGGTTCCAGGCCTCCTGCTGCACGCGCGTCCCTGCGCCCAGCACCAGCGCGCCGTAGTTCAGCACGAAGCGGTGCGGTTGCTCGGCGCCGATGACGAAGCCCAGCGCGCGCAGCAGGTGGCGCTCGTCGCGCACTACCGCCGCCTTGAGCTCCGCGTAGCGCGCGGAGTGGGGGTCCAGCGGGGCGGGGACGGGAGAGCCGGCGGCGCGTGCCAGCAGGCGGTGGAAGGTGGTGAGCACATCGCGCAGGCGCAGGCGGTCCGGGCGATCGATCTCCACCACCTCCTCCAGCTTGGCGGCCAGCCAGAAGGCGGCGATGGAGGTCACCTGGGGCCGGGGTGAGGAGGGAGGGAGGGAGACAGGTGAGTTGGGGGACATGACAGCATCTTCAAATTGTTGTCGAAAGGCCGGCCACGGGGCCAGGGCCCTCGTCCGGAAGACACGCCATCCACACCACCCTTCCCATCCTCGCCACCCGTCCCATCCTCACCACCCTTTTTCCCCCACGCCACAAATTAGAAACCAACCTTGACGTCAAACTTCTTCAGCGAGCGTCGGCAGTAGAAGCGGTGGAGGAGCACCTGGGCTGTAACCGCCACGCCTTGGGGCAGGCCCAGCAGGACCACGGCCCGCTGCAGCATGCCGCACCCGAAGCGGCGCAGCTGATCCTCCGTAGCCGCATCCACGCCATCGGCACGGGAAGGGGACGCCTCGACCTCCTCGGGGGTGAGGTAGAAGTTGTCCAGAGAGGTGTAAATCATGGGAGCGCACAGTGGGGGGACCGCCCCGGGGAAGCTCGATGGTCCCGATGGGAAAACTGTATGCTTTTATTGGTATAGCACCAAGTTACAGTAGGCGTGGAGCCTGAGCTTGGCCAGCTGACGCTGTCGGGGTGGTGCACGGGAAATAGTGG